TATGTCTCACCAAAAAGAAAAATACCTACCTACCTACCCACAAAATCATGGGTCGGGGGACAGCAAACATAGAATTTTTTTACGATGGCCTTATAAGGAATAGCTAAAGCTCACATCCTCTTTATAAGGAATAGCTAAAGCTTCTATCCTCCTTGAAAGGAATAGCTAAAGTTCCCACCCTCATAAGAAATAGCTAAAGTTCCCACCCTCCTTATAAGAAATAGCTAAAGCTTCCATCCTCCTTATAAGAAATAGCTAAAGCTTCCATCCTCCTTATAAGGAATAGTTAAAAGTTCCCACCCTCCTTATAAGGAATAGTTAAGTTCCCACCCTCCTTATAATGCCGCTATTCCACACAGACCACGAATCGCTACAAATTGATAAATTTTAGTATTCGTAGTTTAATCGTAATCAGTTCGTGAAGTTCTTAACTGATTCGTATTTATTCGTAGTCAGTTCTTTCAATTCTTGAGCGATCGGGAATTCGTGGCAAAAGTTTTGAGCTGTTCAACATTTTGGCCACGAACTTTCGATTGCAAAAAATCGTAGTTAATTCGTAACAAATTCGTAGTGCATTCTTAGGCATCGTAACTGATTCGTAATAGATTCGTAGGCATTCGTAGGTATTCTTAACTCATTCGGTGGTGTCCCTCCTTTGGATGACTGTGCTAATGCTGTTGAGTAGCTCATCAAACATGTGGGGTGGCATTCTTACATAGTTGGCAAAGGCATTCTCATCTTCCACCCTCAGCTCCTGTATCAGTCTGTTATAGTGACCATATTCTAGCTTTCTAGCTGGTGTCAGCCACGGTCTAACCCACCACCTGGGGGCTCTTCTCCTTCTTCTTCGAAGCAGTCTTCTTCTAGCTTTCAGATGCTGGTGTTGATACTCCAGTTCCAGGGCCAGTACTACAGCTGCTCTACGTTTAACATCCATTTTGGAACTCATGCCTTGATCACACGCCCAAAGGTCCAAAATTTCAAGCCTGGGTGAGGGCTATATCTATCTTGAGGGAAAATCCCACGAATTGTCAAGAATAGTCATAAATTCAATTTTAATCGTACCTGATTCATAGATACATTCGGCATATTGATTCATAACTGATTCCTAACGTTCGTGCAGTATTCGTAATCGATTCTTGTAAATCGAAGTGAATTCTTGACAATGTTTGAGCGATTCGAGCCGAATCCCACGAGTATTCGTAACTCTATCGTACCTGTATCGTAACAGAATCGTAGCGCGTCACGATTTGGACAAGAATTTAAGACTAAGACAAGACTAAAATTTATCAATTTGTGGCAATTCGTAGGATTCGTGGTCTGTGTGGAATAGTGGCATAAGAAATAGCTATTTAAAGCTGCTATCCTCCTTATAAGGAATAGTTAAAGCTGCTATCCTCCTTATAAGGAATAGTTAAAGCTTCTATCCTCCTTATAAGGAATAGTTAAAGCTTCTATCCTCCTTATAAGGAATAGCTAAAGCTTCTATCCTCTTTATAAGGAATAGCTAATGCTTCTATTCTCGCTAAGAGTACTCATCCCTAAACCGTCGAACGACCGCCGTCCTCGCGCAGCTAATCGGACGGCGCCGCCACTATTTCTCTGTTGCAGCATCGGTGCGAACGAACGAACGTCGGTGAATGAAGCCAAACCCAGACCTTCGCTGCCTCCTCTCACAGCAGCGGCGGCGGCGTCGCTAGCGACTCGTTGCCATGGCAGCGAACATGTATCGCGTCGGGGACTACGTTTTCTTTGAGACGTCGTCGACATCGCCGTACCTGATCAGACGCATCGAGGAACTGAATAAGACGCCGAGCGGGAACGTAGAGGCAAAGGTGAGGGTGTCAGGTATAGCTAGAATACACCTGTCGTTAGGCAAAGGTGAGGGTCGTCAGGTATAGCTAGAATACACCTGTCGTTAGGCAAAGGTGAGGGTGTCAGGTATAGCTAGAATACACCTGTCGTTAGGCAAAGGTGAGGGTGTCAGGTATAGCTAGAATACACCT